ATTATGAAAATCAGCCCCCCTAATTGCATTTTTAAATCACTCATTTCACTCCCATAATTTCGGTTCCAACTTAACCCTAAAAAACATACCGAACATCTCTCAAATAACTATTTTTCACATTTTTCTCATCTTTCTTTTCATACCCAGTTGGAACCTATTTTTAACAGCTCGTTAAGTATGCTAAATATATTTAATTACACCCATACAATATCTATTTGACATTAACTAAATCAGCCCATAAGATTTAAATTAAAACAGTCCATTAAAATAAAACAGTTCAGGTATTTAAATTAAACTAGTCTACTAATTAAAACATTTTAAAATAGCCCACATATGTACAACAACATATATACAAAAATTAATTACAACTCATGTGTAAATGGAGTCCCACATACCTTTCTTGCTTATGGTTCAAATAGACACACACGTATATATATATTTTTTTCCTGATGTCTTCTTCCCTTTTCCTTTTTTTTTTCTTCCCTTTTCCTTTTTTTTTTCTTGTTCTCCTCACTCTCGGCTTCCCAGCTGATCAGAACACACACACACCCCTTTAACTTTAAAGTACACACACACACAGCATACACCATACCAGCCACCTTTGCCCCCCCTTTTGACTCATCAACTTATCCTTTAAACACTTAATTGAGTAATTACACTTGCTTCTCCCCAAGTTTTTAAGTAGTTTCAAAATCGACTCACTAGTATTTTTACACATAAAATTTTATAATTAGGTTTCACTAATACATCACTAATGGGGTCCACCTATCCCATGTATGCTCACATATATCATGGCTATAAAAGATTTAATTTAATTCACCTTTTCATAATTTTACATAATTATAATTTAACTCACAAAATTATATTAATATATGTGCAATGTGTGATTGGGTCTCACAAGGTTTGAGAAAAATGTTATTGCAGTGTTTGGTGACCATTACCTAAGGTCACCAAAACAATAGTAATATTGCTCGATTGCTACAGACGGGAGAACAACGTGGCTATCCCGGCATGTTAGGGACTATTAATTGCATGCATTGGAAGTGAAAATATTGTTCGACCACATGACAAGGTATGTATACTGGTCATTGTCATCAACCAACAATCATTTTGGAAGTTGTGGCTTCTCAAGATCTTTGGATATGACATGCATTCTTTGGGCTTCCTGGNGCTAATAGTATTTTTAAAACATATAAAAATATACACCCACCTCAGATGTACAAATCTACGGCCCTCAGATCCTATCAGTGGATCCTTTCGGTGTCACCGTACCTGTTTCAATACCGAATGTTTCACTCATTTCCACTTAACACATTTGTAATTACAATATCAATATAGTTATCAAATTTAATAATTAATCATGCACTAATGCATGCAAATGATGCATCTCAAAGTGCCCCGATAATCCCGGTTACTGCATTATCTACTTACACATTAACACTTTTGTTCTAAGGATCATATTTCCTCCCTAAATTCCCAAATTCAATCACATTAATCACAATTAGGATTAAGCAGNATGGACATTTGAGGTACTTCAAGCCCGTTTTGCAATCGTGCGTAGACTAGCACCCTTTTGGGATAAAGAAACACTTTGCAGATATTATGAAAGCGTGCATAATATGGTCATTGAAGATGAAAGAGATATTGGTAACAATGACTTTGATGGAAGTGATGTAAATCCGCTTGTAGAAGCGTTGAATGCATATACACAANAGCACATTGACTGGGGGCCCATTTTCACACATTTCAACCCCGAATCCTAAAAACTACACTTCTGGTATTTCATACATTTTGCACCGGATATTNTGGAAGTGATGTAAATCCGCTTGTAGAAGCGTTGAATGCATATACACAAGAATTGAAAGACTTCATGGAAAACCATTGTCAAATTAGGAACAATGTAACTCATTCTCAATTGCAGTCAAATCTTATTGAGCATTTGTGGAAACGACATGTCGAAGAATAATTTTCTCAATTTCAATTTCAAGTTGTGTTTTCAATTCTAATTTCAATTTCAAGTTATATTTTCAATTTCAATTTTAATTTCAAGTTGTATTTTCAATTTTATAAGTACTTTCCTAGCAATCAAACTTAATACATAGTTTTTCATAAATAATAGCAACATAATAAATAATGACTACAAATTAAAAAAAATAAAAGCAACATAATAAATAACGACTCAAAATTAAAATCCCGTTTTTTCATAATCTCTATCTTCAGGTTATTCTAATATGTTGCAGAAATTGGGTCCATGTCAGTAGTATAAGTTTCCATTACTTTCATTTCATTATGCCTTTCAATTTCTTGCACCTGCCTTTCTTCAATTTATAACTGTTTACGATGTTACTTCAATGCTATCTCCTATTGAGCATAAATTTTGTCGTGCCGCTCAACTTTTTGTCGTTCCAGTTCCATTTTTTGATTCCAATGGTGATGATCTAGTGATGCTTTATCACCGGTTTGTTTCTCTTTGTTTTTAAGTTGTTTATTCGAAGTCTTTCTGCCTAATGACCTATCGAGTTTGGGAGTGGACGAGGGTTCAATGTCATTCCCTAAATGTGGAGTTGAATAGCAAGATTCAACATGATTTGATTCAGCAGAACTACCAATTGAATGAGTTTTTGCTTTCTTATTGGTGGTGAGATTATCAGTCCATTTTTGCACCATTTTCAATATATTCCAACAATGCTCGTATTGAAATGGTCTTCCAATGATCTTAGCAAACATTTATTTTGTTTCATCAACCTGAAAAACATATGAAATCATTCAATTAGTTAATAGTTCAAATATCAAATCATAGTAGTGTCTATCTAAAAAAGCTCAATCGTTACATTATTTTATTCGGTATGTCCACTTTGTTGCAATCTTTTAATTTGTCTATAAAAATCAACAAATTTGCTGCATTTTGCATTTATATCAGTCCAATGGCTTTTAATAGAATCTTGCGAACGCTCTTCTTGATTGCTTCCATGAAGTTCTAAGTATTTCACTATTCTATGTCAAAAAGCACCACCTTGTTGTGTTATACCCAGTAATTGCATCTTTACTCGTGTTAAGCCACGCAAACACAATTAATTTATCTTATTTTTGAGAGAAATTATTTGTCTTTTGCGATTTTCTCACTCTTGGAGTGGCTATATTTTGTACTGGCGCAATATTGTGGGATTGGTCTGCATAATAACATCATTTAAATCAGTGTCGTTCATAACAAATCAGTAAAAGAATCGTCAAATTGCGAATTCATCTACAAAAAAAAATTATAATCAATTTAAAGAATGAACATAAAATAATAAATTAAAAAATAAATAAAATCACCCTTAATTAAAATAAATTATAAATTAAAAAAATTAGCTAAATAAATAAATTCACCCTAAATTAACCAAAAAGAAATTAATTAATTAAAATTAAAACATTCAATTTAAATTACAAAATTAATTTAATTATAAAATCAATTTAAATTCTAAATATCAATTTAAATTCTAGATTTCTTCCCCCCCCACCTCTAGATTTCTTCCCCTTTTTCTCTGCGCCTCCTTCCCTTTTTTCTCTCTCTGCGCCTCTTTCTTCAAATCTGTCATCACCAACCACAAAGTTTGAAGAAAAATCAAGAGCAGGGAGCAGAAACTTACAACGATTTTCATGGCAAGTTTTTCCGCCTTTTGGTAAGTTTTCTTTTTCAAAATCTCGGTATTTATAGAATTTTTTGGTTGAATAGAGCTGTTGAGAGTGGAACAGTAGAATTTGAAAAGTCAGAACAGATCTTTGCAACTTCTCTTTTCTCTCTCCAGAGTTTGGAAAGTTTCCACCCCAAGGGTATTGCTGCCATTTTTCAAACCTTAATACCACCCCCATTAAAGTAGAAAATTTTGAATTTGGGATAATATTTTTGACAATTTCAAAGAGTTATGAGATTGTCACCCCTGATGCCATTCTCATTGGAATTTCTCTCAGCACCTGGACTATCAGTAATACTACACTGACTAAATTTAGAGATCAAATGACATAACCGTTGACTTGAGCTTCTTTATTTGGTGTCATGTCATTTGAGCCCAATAAAAACTCTAAATAATATGTGTCATATCATTTGGGTTCTAAATTTAATCTTAAAATTTGATCAACATAACATTACTACCTAGACTATTAGCCTAAAAAGTTGCAAATCGTGGACATACCACCAAAATAAGAATGGCGTGGCTGTGTCATAAATCTGTATTTCAGGGATCCGTGTAAAATTTACCTGTCTAGCGTGATCGTATATTGACCCGACCCGTGCAATCCTCCCACTCAACACACGTCCGCTTCGGCTTAGTCACGAGAGTCCATAAAAAACAAACATGGAGACTGTATTCAGAGTAGAACCTGTGGGAGAGCTTGCCTCTCCGGCCATGGAGTACGAATCAAATTACGAAATTGCCCGCGTCGCCGATTTCATTCGCAGCCGAAACTTCACCAGAGTCGCTTTGCAGGTAGTTTCTATTCTAATCTCTACAGTTCCAATACTTTTAGTTCTTCCCGGTCCATCGCATAAACCCTTCAAGAACCCTTGCAGAAGGGAAAAAAATTCTCTCTGTATCTTCGTTCTCTGTTTGGATTCCCGGAAAATTGAGCTCAACGAAACCGGGAAATTGTAATTTTCTTGAGTTGAGTGGCCGTATTTGCTTTCTCTGAGTTCGAAATTCAATTTTTCGTAAATTGAGTGGGCGTATTTGTTCTCTCTCAGTTTGAAATAATAAATTCTATTTTCCATTATTTTCTTGGTCACCAAACAGAGGACCGGTCCTTGGTCTGGTTATTGTGAAATTAGAGGTAAGGGGAACTGAATGAAACTCTACATTTTGGTGTTCAGAAACCGAAGACCCAATATAGGTAAAGAAAAGTAGTTATGTATTTTCCCATGTTCTATAGGAAGTGGAAATTCTGGGATTATGTAATTCTGTGTCCTTTTATTTTCCTTCCGCACCATTGGGTAGTACGAATGGGTACATCTGAGAGGAGGGAGGTTAATACAAACACTGTAACTCCCCCCCCACCCCACCTCCACCCATACAACTTTGATTATAATTCTTTGCATAATTAGCTAGCGTATGAGCTGCAGTATTGCCAGCCCTGCTGATCCCGGACACCGAACAATTCACATGAGTCGTCCTGGTCCACAAAATTGCCAATATCTGATAAACCCTCCTGTTGTGGTGTATCAAGTCAGTCGCAGTCTTTGAATCTCCTTCCAGTACCACTCGCCATAGGCCTAAATCGATATCTATTTGAATTGCAGAAGGCGCAGGCAAGGCTTCAGAATACTCAACTTTCATCACACAATCGAAGTTATGGCAGAAAACAGCCACCACATTCTCTGTATTCTCTAAGTACTCCACCCGCTCCTGAGACTTTCCCATAGAAGAGAAAACACCATCGAAATTTATCTTGAACACACCAGGTCCGGAGTACACCAATGAGTAACATAACTTCCAGTAGGAATCTCTCTGATTGTACTTCCTGTGTATTTGGAAATTGTTGATGGTAGTTCACTGCAAACTCCCCCATTCTTCATTTCTATTAAACCATATGATCCACATCAGCACCAATATTAAACCACCCTTCTTTGAATCCAACTTCTCTATACTACTACTCATCCATTCAAGGCAAGTCTTAGATGGATCAGGAATTTGAAATCTTGCTCGTTTCCCAACATTCCTTGTTAAAGAGCATTCCATAAAAAGATGAGTAGAGGATTCATGGTTGACATAACACATGAAACAAGATTGCCCCACAACAATATTTCTTCTTAAGAGGTTCTGGTTGGTAGGCAGGATATCCTCAAAAACTCTCCAAGCAAAGTGCTTGATCTTGTTTGGCAGTGTCAATGCCCAAATAAAGTCCCCTTTACAAGTATTCCACTGCTGATGCACTCGAAGTATTTAGATAGTGTTGGAGGATACGATGATATGCATTCCTCTCAGTAAAATAACCTTAATTTGTATAGTGCCATACCTGGGTATCAGCTGGTAACTGTGCTGTGATTTCGTCTGCATCAAACTCTAAGAAAAGTTGTCTGGTAAAACAAGAATTCCATTATTTCTTCTCTCTGCTAATTAATGCACTGACTAAAGTATCATCATCCAAATTATGTAGAGGGCTAGCGACTTTAAAAGTGGAATGTCTGCGCATCCATTTATCCTTCTTAATGTACACACTTTACCCGTTTCCAATTCTCCAGCTATTCTCTGCATCTAGTATACACCTTGATGCTATAATAGTCCTCTAGGTAAATGAGGTGTGAGAGCCCATTTGAGCTTCCATCAAAGAAAGAGATGAGAAGTCTTTAATTTTAAGCACCCAGCAAGAAGTGAATTTGGGTATTTCATTAGTCTCTAGGCTTGCTTAGCTAGAAGTGCTCAATTGGAAGCCTCAATATTCTTGAAACCCAGACATTGACAGAGCGTTTCCCACTTTATCCAGTGATTTTCTTCTCATTATCACTGTAACCACACCAAAACTTGGCCATTAAACTATTGAGTTCTTTGCAAGGAGGAGTTGATAGTTTAAAGCATGCATGACATAGGTTGGGATACCTTGTACCTTGTGCTATTGCTTTAATAAAGACTTCTTGATGTGGATAGTGTTAGAGTTGGATAGATATTATAGATTTATTATGAGAATTATTTGGAGATTATTTAGTATTTATTTTTTTAGTGATTTCTTTTAATTTGTAAGGACTTATATGTCATTTTGATTATGTATTTATTTTAGGGTTTTTAGTTTCCCTATATAAAGGGATGCATATAAGGGTTTTAGTTAGACTTTTGATTGTTTATTGATTATTAGTATTATTGGCTCCCTAGCTTCCCTCTTTCTCCTGATTTTCTCATCCCCTTCGCCTCTTCTCATCCCCACTTCTTCCCCTTCCTAATTTACATCACTTCTTTACCACCCTTTGACAAAATCTTATACTACCGGGATTGAACTTTCTGCCAAACCCTTGCCCGAATAGAGTTAAAAGCCTCCTCCTTTGATTTATCAGTAACAGAGTGTAGACCAAGATGTGTGTTGTGGTTGAGAACAACTGGATGTACATATTGTCTGTCAGCAGGAAGGACATTACCACTAAGAAATAGCAAGATTTATTTTTTGTCCAGATGCTAATTCATAAAGCTGTAAGCATTCTTGAATTGATGGAATATTTTCCATCATGGTCCTAGTAGATGACATGACAGTCAGCGTCATCAGCGAACAACAAGTGAGAAAACTGAATACTCCACGGCCAGTAGATAGTCCTTGCAGAGAACCTGTCCTTTCTGCATTATTTGGAGAAATAGAGACAGGGAGACACTGAGTTCCCCTGCTGCAAATCCCTGAAAATAACCCACTTGCTCCCCTTTAATCTTTACAGAGTAGGATACAGCACTAACATTTATTGCCTCTTGCCCTCTTGCTTCTTATTCTTCAAACAGTAACTTGTTCGCAATGAGTACATTGTCGGTAATCATTCTCTCAGGATCAAATGTGCTTTGATAATTAGAGATAGTACAGTTCAGAATTCTCTTTAATCTGTTAGCCTAGACTTTTGGCGATATATTTTGTAGGCCACCTTACACAAACTTATTGGCTGAAATTATGTAATATTCTCAGGAGATTGTACAATTTTTCAGATGTTGTCATAAATTTTTTTATGACAACATTGAAATTGTGTAATAAGCTCCTTGGTAAATCACATGTTATAATATTTTTTTTTTTGTAGAGGCTTATTAGCTGAAGTTGATTTAAAAAAAAATATGAGCCTTAATAGAGCATTATGGCTAAATAGCATTTGTGTAATCAATTCAAAGTATTTGGAAAGTCTTTGAGGGGGTACATTGAGTTGAATTGGTTGCTGCAAGATAGAAGTGAAGAGGGTATGAACCAAAATTTTATTTGGTCTCCAATACTAATTCAAAGTCATGAATTCTGTGTTTGCGGAGCAGAGTATGACTATCGATACTATTGTCAATTTTTTGGTGTTGAGTACCTGGAAACTTGAAAAGGAAGTAGTTTTATTATGCTCATTTGNTAGCGTATGAGCTGCAGTATTGCCAGCCCTGCTGATCCCGGACACCGAACAATTCACATGAGTCGTCCTGGTCCACAAAATTGCCAATATCTGATAAACCCTCCTGTTGTGGTGTATCAAGTCAGTCGCAGTCTTTGAATCTCCTTCCAGTACCACTCGCCATAGGCCTAAATCGATATCTATTTGAATTGCAGAAGGCGCAGGCAAGGCTTCAGAATACTCAACTTTCATCACACAATCGAAGTTATGGCAGAAAACAGCCACCACATTCTCTGTATTCTCTAAGTACTCCACCCGCTCCTGAGACTTTCCCATAGAAGAGAAAACACCATCGAAATTTATCTTGAACACACCAGGTCCGGAGTACACCAATGAGTAACATAACTTCCAGTAGGAATCTCTCTGATTGTACTTCCTGTGTATTTGGAAATTGTTGATGGTAGTTCACTGCAAACTCCCCCATTCTTCATTTCTATTAAACCATATGATCCACATCAGCACCAATATTAAACCACCCTTCTTTGAATCCAACTTCTCTATACTACTACTCATCCATTCAAGGCAAGTCTTAGATGGATCAGGAATTTGAAATCTTGCTCGTTTCCCAACATTCCTTGTTAAAGAGCATTCCATAAAAAGATGAGTAGAGGATTCATGGTTGACATAACACATGAAACAAGATTGCCCCACAACAATATTTCTTCTTAAGAGGTTCTGGTTGGTAGGCAGGATATCCTCAAAAACTCTCCAAGCAAAGTGCTTGATCTTGTTTGGCAGTGTCAATGCCCAAATAAAGTCCCCTTTACAAGTATTCCACTGCTGATGCACTCGAAGTATTTAGATAGTGTTGGAGGATACGATGATATGCATTCCTCTCAGTAAAATAACCTTAATTTGTATAGTGCCATACCTGGGTATCAGCTGGTAACTGTGCTGTGATTTCGTCTGCATCAAACTCTAAGAAAAGTTGTCTGGTAAAACAAGAATTCCATTATTTCTTCTCTCTGCTAATTAATGCACTGACTAAAGTATCATCATCCAAATTATGTAGAGGGCTAGCGACTTTAAAAGTGGAATGTCTGCGCATCCATTTATCCTTCTTAATGTACACACNCTGTGATTCTCTAAGAAAAGTTGTCTGGTAAAACAAGAATTCCATTATTTCTTCTCTCTGCTAATTAATGCACTGACTAAAGTATCATCATCCAAATTATGTAGAGGGCTAGCGACTTTAAAAGTGGAATGTCTGCGCATCCATTTATCCTTCTTAATGTACACACTTTACCCGTTTCCAATTCTCCAGCTATTCTCTGCATCTAGTATACACCTTGATGCTATAATAGTCCTCTAGGTAAATGAGGTGTGAGAGCCCATTTGAGCTTCCATCAAAGAAAGAGATGAGAAGTCTTTAATTTTAAGCACCCGGCAAGAAGTGAATTTGGGTATTTCATTAGTCTCTAGGCTTGCTTAGCTAGAAGTGCTCAATTGGAAGCCTCAATATTCTTGAAACCCAGACATTGACAGAGCGTTTCCCACTTTATCCAGTGATTTTCTTCTCATTATCACTGTAACCACACCAAAACTTGGCCATTAAACTATTGAGTTCTTTGCAAGGAGGAGTTGATAGTTTAAAGCATGCATGACATAGGTTGGGATACCTTGTACCTTGTGCTATTGCTTTAATAAAGACTTCTTGATGTGGATAGTGTTAGAGTTGGATAGATATTATAGATTTATTATGAGAATTATTTGGAGATTATTTAGTATTTATTTTTTTAGTGATTTCTTTTAATTTGTAAGGACTTATATGTCATTTTGATTATGTATTTATTTTAGGGTTTTTAGTTTCCCTATATAAAGGGATGCATATAAGGGTTTTAGTTAGACTTTTGATTGTTTATTGATTATTAGTATTATTGGCTCCCTAGCTTCCCTCTTTCTCCTGATTTTCTCATCCCCTTCGCCTCTTCTCATCCCCACTTCTTCCCCTTCCTAATTTACATCACTTCTTTACCACCCTTTGACAAAATCTTATACTACCGGGATTGAACTTTCTGCCAAACCCTTGCCCGAATAGAGTTAAAAGCCTCCTCCTTTGATTTATCAGTAACAGAGTGTAGACCAAGATGTGTGTTGTGGTTGAGAACAACTGGATGTACATATTGTCTGTCAGCAGGAAGGACATTACCACTAAGAAATAGCAAGATTTATTTTTTGTCCAGATGCTAATTCATAAAGCTGTAAGCATTCTTGAATTGATGGAATATTTTCCATCATGGTCCTAGTAGATGACATGACAGTCAGCGTCATCAGCGAACAACAAGTGAGAAAACTGAATACTCCACGGCCAGTAGATAGTCCTTGCAGAGAACCTGTCCTTTCTGCATTATTTGGAGAAATAGAGACAGGGAGACACTGAGTTCCCCTGCTGCAAATCCCTGAAAATAACCCACTTGCTCCCCTTTAATCTTTACAGAGTAGGATACAGCACTAACATTTATTGCCTCTTGCCCTCTTGCTTCTTATTCTTCAAACAGTAACTTGTTCGCAATGAGTACATTGTCGGTAATCATTCTCTCAGGATCAAATGTGCTTTGATAATTAGAGATAGTACAGTTCAGAATTCTCTTTAATCTGTTAGCCTAGACTTTTGGCGATATATTTTGTAGGCCACCTTACACAAACTTATTGGCTGAAATTATGTAATATTCTCAGGAGATTGTACAATTTTTCAGATGTTGTCATAAATTTTTTTATGACAACATTGAAATTGTGTAATAAGCTCCTTGGTAAATCACATGTTATAATATTTTTTTTTTTGTAGAGGCTTATTAGCTGAAGTTGATTTAAAAAAAAATATGAGCCTTAATAGAGCATTATGGCTAAATAGCATTTGTGTAATCAATTCAAAGTATTTGGAAAGTCTTTGAGGGGGTACATTGAGTTGAATTGGTTGCTGCAAGATAGAAGTGAAGAGGGTATGAACCAAAATTTTATTTGGTCTCCAATACTAATTCAAAGTCATGAATTCTGTGTTTGCGGAGCAGAGTATGACTATCGATACTATTGTCAATTTTTTGGTGTTGAGTACCTGGAAACTTGAAAAGGAAGTAGTTTTATTATGCTCATTTGTCTGTTGCTTCTTTGAAAATTAATCTTATGCATTCTTTTTGGATGGTAAGAAAATGCAGCCGAATTGAATATGTATGAAAGGCAAGTACTTATGTTTTTAAATAACAGTTCCCGGATGAGCTATTGAAGGANTGTCTGTTGCTTCTTTGAAAATTAATCTTATGCATTCTTTTTGGATGGTAAGAAAATGCAGCCGAATTGAATATGTCTGAAAGGCAAGTACTTATGTTTTTAAATAACAGTTCCCGGATGAGCTATTGAAGGACTCAACAACAGTTGTTAGGGCTCTGCGTGAGAAGCTTCGGTCATTGGGTGGATCATTTANCACTGACTAAAGTATCATCATCCAAATTATGTAGAGGGCTAGCGACTTTAAAAGTGGAATGTCTGCGCATCCATTTATCCTTCTTAATGTACACACTTTACCCGTTTCCAATTCTCCAGCTATTCTCTGCATCTAGTATACACCTTGATGCTATAATAGTCCTCTAGGTAAATGAGGTGTGAGAGCCCATTTGAGCTTCCATCAAAGAAAGAGATGAGAAGTCTTTAATTTTAAGCACCCGGCAAGAAGTGAATTTGGGTATTTCATTAGTCTCTAGGCTTGCTTAGCTAGAAGTGCTCAATTGGAAGCCTCAATATTCTTGAAACCCAGACATTGACAGAGCGTTTCCCACTTTATCCAGTGATTTTCTTCTCATTATCACTGTAACCACACCAAAACTTGGCCATTAAACTATTGAGTTCTTTGCAAGGAGGAGTTGATAGTTTAAAGCATGCATGACATAGGTTGGGATACCTTGTACCTTGTGCTATTGCTTTAATAAAGACTTCTTGATGTGGATAGTGTTAGAGTTGGATAGATATTATAGATTTATTATGAGAATTATTTGGAGATTATTTAGTATTTATTTTTTTAGTGATTTCTTTTAATTTGTAAGGACTTATATGTCATTTTGATTATGTATTTATTTTAGGGTTTTTAGTTTCCCTATATAAAGGGATGCATATAAGGGTTTTAGTTAGACTTTTGATTGTTTATTGATTATTAGTATTATTGGCTCCCTAGCTTCCCTCTTTCTCCTGATTTTCTCATCCCCTTCGCCTCTTCTCATCCCCACTTCTTCCCCTTCCTAATTTACATCACTTCTTTACCACCCTTTGACAAAATCTTATACTACCGGGATTGAACTTTCTGCCAAACCCTTGCCCGAATAGAGTTAAAAGCCTCCTCCTTTGATTTATCAGTAACAGAGTGTAGACCAAGATGTGTGTTGTGGTTGAGAACAACTGGATGTACATATTGTCTGTCAGCAGGAAGGACATTACCACTAAGAAATAGCAAGATTTATTTTTTGTCCAGATGCTAATTCATAAAGCTGTAAGCATTCTTGAATTGATGGAATATTTTCCATCATGGTCCTAGTAGATGACATGACAGTCAGCGTCATCAGCGAACAACAAGTGAGAAAACTGAATACTCCACGGCCAGTAGATAGTCCTTGCAGAGAACCTGTCCTTTCTGCATTATTTGGAGAAATAGAGACAGGGAGACACTGAGTTCCCCTGCTGCAAATCCCTGAAAATAACCCACTTGCTCCCCTTTAATCTTTACAGAGTAGGATACAGCACTAACATTTATTGCCTCTTGCCCTCTTGCTTCTTATTCTTCAAACAGTAACTTGTTCGCAATGAGTACATTGTCGGTAATCATTCTCTCAGGATCAAATGTGCTTTGATAATTAGAGATAGTACAGTTCAGAATTCTCTTTAATCTGTTAGCCTAGACTTTTGGCGATATATTTTGTAGGCCACCTTACACAAACTTATTGGCTGAAATTATGTAATATTCTCAGGAGATTGTACAATTTTTCAGATGTTGTCATAAATTTTTTTATGACAACATTGAAATTGTGTAATAAGCTCCTTGGTAAATCACATGTTATAATATTTTTTTTTGGTAGAGGCTTATTAGCTGAAGTTGATTTAAAAAAAAATATGAGCCTTAATAGAGCATTATGGCTAAATAGCATTTGTGTAATCAATTCAAAGTATTTGGAAAGTCTTTGAGGGGGTACATTGAGTTGAATTGGTTGCTGCAAGATAGAAGTGAAGAGGGTATGAACCAAAATTTTATTTGGTCTCCAATACTAATTCAAAGTCATGAATTCTGTGTTTGCGGAGCAGAGTATGACTATCGATACTATTGTCAATTTTTTGGTGTTGAGTACCTGGAAACTTGAAAAGGAAGTAGTTTTATTATGCTCATTTGTCTGTTGCTTCTTTGAAAATTAATCTTATGCATTCTTTTTGGATGGTAAGAAAATGCAGCCGAATTGAATATGTCTGAAAGGCAAGTACTTATGTTTTTAAATAACAGTTCCCGGATGAGCTATTGAAGGACTCAACAACAGTTGTTAGGGCTCTGCGTGAGAAGCTTCGGTCATTGGGTGGATCATTTAGTGACAGCAATGATGATGTTAAGGATATTGGATTGTATGTAATGGCAGATACGACTTATGGTAGCTGTTGTGTTGATGAGGTCGGGGCATCTCACATCAATGCTGACTGTGTCATCCATTATGGACATACATGTCTTAGTCCGTGAGTGCATTGTCTTTTACGTATAATTATTCTTAAGGTTCTTAGTGCAGTTCTTACATTTGACATTTTGTTCTTGTTATAAATGTCTCTTCACTTCAAAACTCTTTTCTTTTGGCTTTTGCAGCACATCGACTCTCCCTGCTTTGTTTGTTTTCGGAAAAGCTCTGATTAATGCATTTAAATGTGCTGAGAACTTATGTAAATATGCATTGACAAGTGGCAAGCGTGCTTTGGTATGATAAATAATTTTGTGTTCCCTTTTCTTGCTTTGAGATTATGTGGTTGCTGAGCATGGCTGAAAGTGACGTAAAACGCGAATTATTGCCTTTTGTTTTCAACTGGGTTTGTGAGTGTCACATTTCACTATATCTACATCATATAATTTGTTTTGCATTTGTAGCAGTTTTTCATTTTTTTCCTCTTTTTTTAACTTCATAGGAGTATAGAGTACTGTTGTAGAAAAATTATATCCTTATATTTTCAGTTTGCTTAAAGCATTGGTTATCTGATTAATGAGCACAATAAACAAAAACACGTTTTTTAAAAATCATAGTCAGAAATTTGTGGAAATGAATGGTTAAAAGATTTGTTTTCTCTTACATGCTATTTTTCTTTTTATGCCTCCTCTTCTCTCCCACCATTGAAAGATTTCAATGCACTGAGTTATCCATATGGTTGAAATTTAGTTGAACTTCAATATGTATGAATGTTCATTTGATTGCAAGTAATGCATGATATTGGCATTTTTGCAATTTTGATCTGCAGTTGAAGTTTTTTCTTATTCTTCTGTAACTGATTAAGTCATTAAATGTCTTACTTGTTATCAATTAGATTAATATCTTTACATGCTTGCTTCTATAATTTATGCATATGTTTCTGAATGTAATAGGCTAGAACTGAACTTTTCTATATGTTGCATATGTCTACACTTGCGCATAAGAATCCTGAAATACTATATTGTAGATTATAGTTTACAGTTTCACAAGTATTCTGCATTTATGAAGTTGCGNCAATTAGATTAATATCTTTACATGCTTGCTTCTATAATTTAAGCATATGTTTCTGAATGTAATAGGCTAGAACTGAACTTTTCTATATGTTGCATATGTCTACACTTGCGCATAAGAATCCTGAAATATTATATTGTAGATTATAGTTTACAGTTTCACAAGTATTCTGCATTTATGAAGTTGCGCTAACTTCAGTCAGATGAATCTTGATGTGGTAATTTCAGATTATTCATCTTTAGCATGACATAGCTAAATGTTGTGGGCTTGCAGCCTTATGTAAGCTCCAATTGATGGAAGCGTGGAAGGATGGTTTGTTTGATTGGTTAGTGTTTTACTATAAGTGGGCAGAATGTTTGAGACAATTTGGTGCCGAACTAACTTGACGGGAAACCAGGAGTCTAGTGCATTGATGCACCTTTTATTGCTATAAAATTATTGTTCCAAGTGGGTGCATTTTACCACTGCAGTTNTATAAGTGGGCAGAATGTTTGAGACAATTTGGTGCCGAACTAACTTGACGGGAAACCAGGAGTCTAGTGCATTGATGTACCTTTTATTGCTATAAAATTATTGTTCCAAGTGGGTGCATTTTACCACTGCAGTTNTCTTTCTCCTGATTTTCTCATCCCCTTCGCCTCTTCTCATCCCCACTTCTTCCCCTTCCTAATCTACATCACTTCTTTACCTCCCTTTGACAAAATCTTATACTACCGGGATTGAACTTTCTGCCAAACCCTTGCCCGAATAGAGTTAAAAGCCTCCTCCTTTGATTTATCAGTAACAGAGTGTAGACCAAGATGTGTGTTGTGGTTGANTTGCACCCTTCCATGAGAATCACATGACTTATCAAATTTCTGTTGTGTATTTTTATATTCCCTTTCGACTCTGAATGAGCCTTGTGCTTCATGAAGCATTGAAAATGGTTCCCTTGTGCTTTTATAGCATCCTTTTTCCTTCTGCCTTCCCTATAGTTGTTAACTGAAACAAACAGAATCAAAGAGATGTCCCCAAGTCTTTGATTCAAATAATTTCCAGCTGGTAGTGCATAACTCTTGTACTTGTGGGTCATCCACATTTGGTGAACACTTTCTTTCATCAGTTGCTTTTCACTGATGGCCACTTGCCCGGGCTTGTGCCCAAGGTTTTGCAGTGACCACTGCACCCTCCTACTCATCAGGGCCTGACACATTCTTTGATGGCAGGGTATAGGTTGTGGGCTTTAGTGCCATTTAATTTGGGGCTAGTTGATTCAGCAGCTGAGTTGCTACCTGTTACACACTTGTTGGTGGATTTTGATTTCCATGACCACCATTTTGCTGTATTAATCAACCCACACACCCTTTGTGGGCTCTAGGTTAGCATGCATTTACATCCACACCCCTTTTGCACTAAATAGCCGTTAATTGATCTTAGCAATTAAGTTCTCGTGCTGTTCTGCTCCATTTGACTGCCAATCAAGCTATTTTAAATTGCTGTTGTGGTAGCCAGTGATCGTGTCTTCATTTTGTAATTAATTTCCTTTAACTAAAATGCAGATCCTTTATGGACTGGAATATGCACATGCAATACCAGATATCAAAGAAGCATTGATCATTGAATCATCGAAGTTATGTGGCTCTGAATCCAGATTAGAATTCCATTATGCTGATGTTATGCCTTCATTTGTAAATCCGTCAGAAAATTTTAAAACCTCTGATGCGCACCCGGAATTTGTTAGTAGCCCAACAACTGATGAAGGCTGTGGTGAGGCAGCGGGTACAAGATATAGAATTGGAGGCTTGACGTGGAGTTTACATGAGGGAAACAAAATAGAGGATTGCTTAGTTTTTTGGATTGGTTCTGACAATTCAGCCTTTGCAAATGTAGTACTGACGTTCAATGGCTGTGAAATAGGTAGAAGTGTGCATTCTCTTCTAGACTATATTGCCAAATTTTGCAGAGAAAAAATGAAGGATAAAAGTTATTATATAACCAAGCTTTTTGAATGTGGAGAAATTATTTCACCTGGTCCCTCATCTCATTCTTGACTTGCTGATAGTCATATTTAGAGATGGTTCTATCAATGTTTTTTGAACAATAGTCATATTTAGAGATGGTTCTATCAATTTTTTTTTGAACAATGTGTTTGCTTTAGTTTATATTATGTTATAGTGTACCTTAACACCGATGGCATGCTCAGTTGTTTGTCTCTGTCCAGGCAATTGGCTCTTACGTTGCACAATTTGACTGCTGCCAAGGATCACTAGTTTGATAACTGTGGCCTGTGGTCTAGTTGCTTTTTGTAGACTCTGAGACCCCCCCCACCACATGCAAAACTCATGCATTTCCATAGTAATGTGTTCCATCATTTATTTCTTGTAAAAAGATTAATCTCTCTTGTAACTAGGTAGACCTCAACATGCCATATATGTGATTTATGAACTTGAAACTATGTAGGACGTTTTAGATTATGTGATGTACTACATTCATTCCCAATATCTGTTTAAGAAATATCCGCATCCCAGATACTGTTGGTTAGAGTCTTCCTAGGGCTTGGACATTGTCTTGATCTACTAACTCCCAAATCAAAATCCACTAAACTGCTGGTACTCTCCAGAAGATGGTTATCATTTCTATTTAAGTCACTATGTACTTTTTTGGAGGGTGGGACAGAAGATTGGCCTACTCGTAACTGTCATTTGGAATTAATTTTTGTGTTAGTTTTGAGCGTGTCAATTTCAAATAAGGCTTTTATTAATTTTTATTTGCATTGGCCTCAGTCAGATATGTAGCAACAGAAAATTGNTAGAAAATTATAATATTTTACAAGCTAATACACAATGAAAAATTTATATTCGTAAATACTTTTACCAGCTGTATGCAAGTGTCTGTGCAATTGGGTCTTCCATCTTTTGTCAANTTTCTCCTGATTTTCTCATCCCCTTCGCCTCTTCTCATCCCCACTTCTTCCCCTTCCTAATTTACATCACTTCTTTACCACCCTTTGACAAAATCTTATACTACCGGGATTGAACTTTCTGCCAAACCCTTGCCCGNCTAGTATTTTCTCAAATTTTTGACTGAATGTTGTATAGTTAGTTTAGCCCTTTCCGTTGTCTCATAGACAATTGATAAAGTCGGTTTTTTGTCTTGATCAACTATTTTTAAGACCCTAACAGGTGGCTCCATGACGGATTGAACTTAACTAGCCTTCTTTCCAAATTGGTCAGTCAAAATAAGGTTTGAGACTATTTCTCTTATTTTTCTCCTCTTCTTGTTTTTGTTAAACTCACGCCATTCATCGATGGTGCATATTCTTTTCAAGTCCGATTTATAACGGATAAGACTTTCAATGCAATGAATTCAGTGGCAAATCGAGTTATACCTGGCCTCAATAAATCTCTGTCTCTGGTATGCTGCTTCATTAAGTTCACCACTTTGAGACTGTTGTAGATAAAGGATGTGATCGTTTTAGCATCATTTATGGTCTTCTTGATTGTTTTTATATGACCAATATCTTCTAGCATCAAGTCGACATAATAGGCTGCATAAGGAGACCAAAATAGATGTTTCCTTTTATCCATCAACATCTTACCAGCTTCTTTAAAGTTTGCCTCATTGTTGGTTACTATATGTACTATATTTTCTTCTCCAACTTCATCAACAACCAACTTTATTCATAAGAGAGAAAATATAGTTAACAGTATTTGAAATGTTGGTGGTATCAACTAAAGTATGGTAAATCAAACTACAGTCACAATAAATCATGAAATTGATAATGAGTTTCTTTGTTCTAGAACTCCACTCATTAGACATGATTGTGCAACCATATTGAGCCCATTTTACCTTCATTGAGGATATATACACGTCAAGCTCTTGAACCTCCTCTAAATAAGAACTACCAATTTGATATCCAGTGGGGGCCTTTATTCTTGGGCCTACATCCGCAATAGTGTCAATCATTGATTGATAGTAAGACCCATTATAAGCTGCATTGAATGATATTGCATTGAAGAGTAAGAACTTTGAAATAGCTTTTCTCACTTTT